AAAGCAACAAATAAATATTTGAAAAAATGTTCAACATCACTGGTCATTCAAGAGACGCAGATGAAAACAACACTGAGATTCCACCTCACCCCAGAAAGAATGGCTGCTATCAAGAAATCAACCAATAGCAAATGTTGATGGGGTTGTGAAAAGCAAGGAACCCTTCTCCATTGTTGGTGGGAGTGCAGACTGGTGCAGCCACTGTGGAAATCAATATGGCGATACCTCAAAGAGCTGGGACTAGAGATTCCATTTGACCCAGCTAGCCCTCTGCTGGATATCTTTCTAAAATAATTAAAGAAATCATATCATAGTGCTATATGTACACCCATGTTTATAGCGGCACATTTGTAATAGCTAAAACTTGAAACAACCTAATTGTCCATCAGTTGGAGACTGGATAAAGAAGATGTGGTTTTTCTATATAATAGAGTACTACTCAGCCATAAAAATGAGAAACTAGAGTCATTCATAGGAAATGGATGCATATTGAGACCATGCTCTTAAGTGAAATAAATAGGACACATGTGTGTAAATACTAATAGTTTCTCTGGTGTGAAAACTAAAAGTGTAAATAAGATCCAAATTGTATAACTGATAATGTGAAATAGGAAGACAGGGGCTAATGGTGTAAGAGAAGTGGGAAGGGTAGGGGGAAGGAAATAAGGGAAAAGAAAAAGTATGAGGAAAGGAAAAATGGAAACAAAGTCTTTGTAAATAGGGGAGAGTGGAGGGGGTGAAGTGAGGGCAGGGGTTTTGGAAAAACATGAGAACCAAGATCTGCCATGAAAAGGTACAAGATCTCAATGATTAATGTAATTGTGCTGTATACCTGAAAAGTACCAACTCAATGCAAAAAAGACAGAAAACATTTGCATTGCATTAGAGCAAAATTGTGAGTGAACTATGGTCAAATAATGCAAGATGATGAATGCTAATACTATCTAATTCATTCACTCAATACCATTAGTGTCCAACACTAGTCACTACTGAAATTGTGAACAAAAGATCTGTGGTCTTTGTTCAATTAATTTCTTTTAGTGGCACATTTTAAATATACATAATGATCACATTCATCATAGGGAATTTGCACCTGTACGTGATATTCCTTGATGGTTCTTTTTTTCCAATTCCTTTCCCCCTCCCTATGATGCCCTTCTCCTCCTTACTTATAAAAGCTTTGCTTCTATTTTTTCTTCTTTTTCTTTTTTCTTTTCCCTTCTTTCCTTTCCCCTTCCTTCCTTTCCTTCTTCCCACTCTAGTTCCCTTCTCATTTGAACTTTGTCTTCCTATTTCACTATACAACCACACATTTTGGTCTTCATTTACACTTTGTGTCTCACACCAGAGAAATAATGAAATATTTACACATGTGAGTCTGATTTATTTCACTTAAGAGTATGATTTCAAGGTGCACTAGAAATGTCTCACATCCACCCTTCTTTATGGCTGAGTGGTATTCCATTTTTAAAAAACCACACATCTCAAATGCCCATCAACTGGTGAATAGAGAAAGACATTATAACTAAATGGATACATTTTAAGACCATTCTCTTAAATTAAATAGGACACACATGTGTAAATAGCCCATCATTTCTCTAATGTGAGAAACTGAAAGAGTATATGAGGACCAAAATGTATAACAGATATTGTGAAATAGGGAGACAAAGTTCAAATGGGAAGGGGAACTAGGGAGGAGGAAAAAAATAATGGAAGAGAAAAGAATGATAAAATGGAAGCAAAACTTTTGTAAGTAAGGAGGGGAAGAGGGGTTGCAGGGAGGAGAAAGAAATCGGAAAAAAGAAGAATCACTCCCTATGATGAATGTGATCATTATGTATCTCTAAATTATACCCAAAAACTTAATTAATTTAAAAAACATCTTTATCCATTCATTGGTTGATGGACCTTTGGGCTGTTTCCAAGATTTAACTGTTACAAACTGCTGCTGTAAACATGGCTGTGCATGTATCTCTATGGTAGGATGCTTTTAATTCTTCCAGGAAGATACCAAGAAGAAACTAGCTGGGTCAAATGGAACCTCTAGTTTTAGTTTTTTGAGAAAACTCCATACTGATTTCCACATTGGTTTCACCAGTCCGCACTCCTACCAACAATGGAGAAGGGTTCCTCTTTCCCCATAGTGCTGTCAGCATTTGTTATTGGTTGATTTCTTGATAGCAGCCATTCTTTCTGGGGTGAGGTGGAATCTCAGCATGTAGTGTTTGACTTTGTAGAGTTTTTAGTCTAGCAGCATACATAAGCTTTCACCAAACAAATGCCATTTACCTGGTATACAAATTACCAACTGTGGTTCACCACAAGAAATGAAAGCACCACATGCTATGAGATGGATAACTGGAAATAGATCAAGGGGAGATGCAAAGTGAGGATTTCTCCCCCAAGAGGTGACATTTAGCTGAGTAGGTACAGTGACAAATGGGAGGAGGAAAGCATGGCATGGGACAACAAATGGCTTCTTCAAAGACCCAGGGAAGCAAAGCAGGAGGGAAAAGTAAGCTCAGGTGTGGAGCCAGCTCTTCCCAGCCATGAAGATGATCCTAAAGATTGAGGTCCTTTTCATAGAGCAACAGAAGGATGTGGAGATATTTAAGCAAAAAGCAAAATTAGGTTGTTTTTTTAACCATTGTTTGTCCTGCAACATGAGGCAGCTGGGAGAAAAGTGGGAAAGGACAAGAGATCATTAGAAAGTTATTTCGGTTTTCCACATGAGCAACAATGATGGTCAGGTGGGGTTGTCGGTATAAAGAAAAGAGATACATTCTACCAGTGTGTAGGAGGTTAAGTCAACATGACTTGGAGATAAATTAGACTAGGAAAGAGAGATGTTACAGACAAAAGGAATTTCTGGTTGCTTACTGAAGCAGCAATGGTGGCGCTTCCTGAGACACCGAACCAGCTTGGTTTCAGACACACTGAGTTAAAGAGCCTAGGGAGAAACAGCCATAAGAATGGATCAAATGGACAGCTGAGTGCACAGATTTCAAGCCAGGTGACAAACTACACTGGAGATGAAAAGTGATGGAGCATATTATCCAGGAGGCTGTGGGTGGGCTTTCTTGGAGAGAGAATGTGGAACGGGGAAATAAGTTCAATTTGCCCTGTACTGTGCCTGGTCAGAAAATGTCATGAAGCTCAACAGATACTTTTTCAATAAATAAGCAAACAGACTAATTCATAAAGATCAGGATACTAGCTAGGCACTGACAGCACAGAAATGAAAGTTTCCTTCCCCCTATGTACGTAATCCTGGCTGGGATCAATACAATGACATTTAAAAGAATGAGGCAGACTTTGGAGAAAATCACAAAAGAAGAATGAGACATCCGTCTTGTAATAAATGATTGACTTAAGGACTTAACAGGAGTTCTACATTAAAATTGAATCATCTTAATTATAGCATGTTATAATATTTGTCACCTGGTACGGTTATTTTTCATTAATGGTAATACCTTACATGGCATTTTACAAAGAACTTGCATACTGATTATGATATCTCATAGTAAACTTTAATACAACTCTGAAATACTGTTGTTTTGTGCTCTGCATGCGTACGCTACTTCAGGGATTTTTAAATCTTTAACTATAGTTTTACTTATATTTTTAGGAGACAAAATTTTAACTGCTCTTTTCTCAAGCCTTCCAAGACAAGTTGTACTGTACATTTATATTTCAAACATGTTAAGATATTCGACGTTTAAAAGTCACATATTGGAAAATCATTATTGTCAATAGTGTGCTGAGAGTACAATTTCTCCAGTGGTGAAGAGTTTTAGATAGATAGATAGATAGATAGATAGATAGATAGATAGATAGACAGACAGACAGATAGATGGATGATAGACAGAGATAGAGATATATTTATATATTTTTTAAATTTCAAAGTATACAATAGAGAGAGGATTGACAATTGATATGACAGATGACATATAGAGGATAGATCAATAGACAGAGAGAAACATGACCTCTGTTCTAGCTCCCGTTCTGATACTGGATTCTTGCACCTCTGACAAGTCAGTGGGTTCCCCCTCCATCCCTAAGGGCAGCAGCTAAGTTGATCAGCCATTCTCACACAAGGGACCACCGAGCTGGAGAGGCGAGAATGAGGGAGCCAGAGTGGTAGAGGTGAGGGTCCAGAACACCACGTCCCTCTTCCCATCTCTCACCGCTCCATCTGCTGGGGATAAACACCTGCACGGTATCACTGGGAAACAAGGGTCTTCTGCCCGAAACTTAACAGTCAGAGAAAATGTTTCAAAATATCACCCTACATCAGGGTTCCTTTCTAGTTCTGAAGCAGCAGTTCAGGAATAAAACCTGATTGTCTGCAGCCTTTTATAATAGCACCAAGTCATTTCTCGCTTGCATCTGCAAAAACAGTGCATTAAATGGATGGTCTGAAACATCTCCTGTGCCACTTTTTTGCTCCAATTTAATTTACAGAGTAAGGGAAGCATCAAATTTCCGTGGGAGGGAAGATTACACAAAACAGGCAGCAAGACTCCAGTCAAAGAAGTCTGGTTAACATCCTTTATCAAGGACAGAGGCTGTCAGAGGACTGCTGGATAATGTTTTTCCTCTTTGATTTACAGCACTGCAGCAATGGAAAGGGAATGTCCAAAGACATAGTCGGTTTCAACTACCCTTAGGTTAACAAACCCACTTAAAAGGACGAGAAAGATTGAAATCTTAGTGCCTCCCTCTGTCATCCGGGAAACTGTCTGGGTATCCAACCAAGGCAGAGACTTCAGTATCACTGAAAAATGCTCAAATTAACCCAAGGCTTTCTCTGACCACCATGCTCTGGGAAACACTAGTTGCCTATCTAAAAAGCAACATCTTATATCCCAAATGCTCAAGCACTGGACAAAGGGAGCTGGCTCAAACCCAGCACAAAGACAGCCACCAGCACAGAGTGTCAGTGAGTCCTAGACGGTGAAAACCAGAAACCCTGATGTGAATCTTTCCACCACACTAACCAGCGACTAAGGCGTCCTTAGGCCACCGGCTGAACCAGTCGATCGTGCACCCTGAAATAAGGGCAGGGAACTTCAAAGCTCGAGTTCGAAATTTCTCCCCGACAGGAGAAAAGCAGAGCACGATGTGGAGATTCCTTCGGACCCGGCCCATGAAGTAGTCATACAAGTTCTCGTTAGTAGGAGGGTGCCTGGGGTGTTCCTTCTTCATGACTGATGTCAGATCACTATTAATTTCATCAATTTCATCACGAGCAAATAGGTTGGAGACCTTAAAAAGAATATGTAGGCATCCAAGTTCAGCACATACATATGAAAAGCAACCAAAATAAGTGCCTCGATAGGTATGATTGTCTTTTCTCCATCTGTGTTCTTAAACTCTTCCTGTAAAAATTAACTAAACATTTTCAAGACAAAATAGACTACATTTCAAAGCATACAAATGATTCTATGATTCACTACAGTCGCAGCTCTCTAAGGGAAGAAATGTGTATACAAAACACTACCAGCTTTACTTCCAACCTCCCTATTTTTTTGTCTCTATGCTTTTATTGGGAGTTCCATTCTTTCATAGCCTAGTTTTAAAAAGCCATTACTCACACTGATCACCAGATTTCCAGTAACACTTACTCAAAACTCTAAAAGAAGAACAATAAGGAGAGCTCTAACTCTGAGGACCTCTGGAGAGAAAAACACATGGTGAGTAAGTGAGCTCCTACCTCGCCTGATGACAAAACGTTGTTCATGTATTCCAAGAATGACTCATCTTTAATCTCATTGTCTGTGAAAATAAAAGTGATTCCTTTGCCCTGCTGCCCAGCTGTTCTATACAAAACTTTCAGGTCGTCCATCAGATTCGATGTGTTGTAGGATCTAAAGAAACATTGTCATTGTGTCATTCACTGAAATATTTTCATGGGAAGAACAGAGCCCTGTTTCAGTGTTTTATGCCATTTAGCTAACCAAAGGAGGCTGATTTTGTTCCATCGTGAAGGTGTGTATTATATATGAATGTTGCTGGCTAAATGATTTTTAACATTCCACATTCCATAAAGCATTATAATTAACATCTTTATACACAAAATAACTAAAGTGCAACTCCACTCAAGAACAGAACTTCTACCATGAGCAAATATCATTTTAATGTTTACATATATGATCTTAAAAATATTTATTAGCAATGATCACATTAGCTGGAAATAATAGAATATTAAGCAATCATCTGTAATTGGCATTTTGGAAGACATCTGATAAATTAAACTAAACTAAGCTACATAAATTCAAGATTTCATCCAGTGGAGAGAAAGAGATAAATGGTGCCCTCCTCATCCCCAACAGTTACTATCTGTGCATCTCTGGATCTCTGGTTCCCTGTACAAGAATTGGTTTTCTGAGAAGAACTGGAAGCATTATGAAATGTCCCACTATCCATTTTACACTATCAAAAGCAATTTTTAGCCAATGTTAGAAAAATTTCAACGTAAATTGGTCCATTACACCAAGAATAAAAATGAAAATATTCCAATCCTAGAGCCACAGACCTAGTAAATTATTATTTGTTTTTTGTGTCATTAAATAAATTCAGAATTCAGAGCACAGTAACAAATGGCCACCTGATTTTTTCTACAGCTACTAAATATTTAACTTCCATAGTCTTTCCTTTTCTTAACATCTATCAACTAAAACCTATAGCCGGAGCATTCATTGATTTCCAAAAGGCTTCTACAGCAATGAGATCCAAGAAATAGGAGAGGAAACATCCTCCTTTAAAAAAAATGAAAAGACAAAGTAAACCATTTCATTCAAGTTTTTGTGACACAGGGAAAATTTTTAGCCCAGACCCCTGGATCCCAAGGACCTGCTACCTCAAGTGACAAGGCCTGAGACATCTGACCAAGGGTTGCGCTTCCTGAGGTGAGGATACTGCCTTCAGCTACACTGCTGTGCAGAGGCTTAAAGAGGAAGACAGTCTCTTGAAGGCTGGGGACGTGGGGAGACAAGGCAGAAGGGCAGGGGAAGGGAGGTAAAAAGGAGCAAGGCACGTGCACCAGTACCCCAGGATGAATATGGCCACTACATATCGAAATGTATACTAATTTAAAAGTCTTCCTAATAAAACAGTCAGTGAATTCAGTTTTTAAAACAAGGCAAGGAAGATCTTGGCCCTTCCTTTATTAGTGACAGATCACTGCAGAGGAACTAATTTGTCACAGTGAGCTTGGAAGGTGTGCTTGTTGAGGCATTCGGCAAAGTAGAGAGCACACTAAACCAGAACCTCGGATTGACTGCAAAAAGAAAAAAGAAAAAGTAAAAGAAAGCCTTCTCATCCACTCCCAGCTATATCTGAGATGTCAGGCAAGTCATAGCTTCTCTGAATTTCAGCAACAAGATAGGCTACTGCTATGTACTTCTCTATTCTACAAAGTACTTTAGAAAATTAAAGCAGCTTATGCATATAAACATGCTTTAAAGCGATGAGGTTTCATACAAAGATTAGGAACAAGAATTTAAGTCCAGTTCTTCTCCCATGCAGGTTATTTTTTTTTCTTTTTATCTATCTAAGCTTCCATCCACAAACTAGAAGAATTATACACAAGATAACAAGGGCTGTTTCCGACAGCCCTAATACTTGAATGAAAGAGTAATCTTTCAATTTACTCTCCTCTGTATTAACACTTCCAAAGTCTGTATTACTGTTTGGGAGGGATTATTTTCTTGTGAGATGGACCAGAAGGAGAACCTATCCTACCCATACAGAGCACACAAAGAAGGAGGTTTTGATTTACTACAATGAGAGGTCACATGTTTTAAAAGAACATTATTAATGTAAAATATTCATGATCCATGGCAAAGATTGAAAGGGAAATATGGTAAGTCAACATTCAAGGGGCTGGGGATTTAGCTCAGTGGTTCTGCCACCTGCCTCGCAAGCACAAGGTCCCAAGTTCCATCCCTGGTCCCCCCCCAAAAAAATCCAATTGAAGAACTGCCAGAGCCCACATTATTGATTATGCCCCAAACAGGCTGTAAGCAGTGCAGGCTGCAAAGAGTTAACCCCTTGGCTGACTTACTTTAAGAAGCATGTCTGCCCAAAGCTACACGTATTGCACCTTTCCCTGATTGATGAATAATAAAATTTGGTGAAAGAGACCGGCCAGTGCCTTTTGCCAAAGGAGCATTGGCCATCCCAGTGCACGTTTTCTCTTTAACTCTGTTTCAAGTTTTTCTTCCACCCTGCCTCGCCCACTGGGCAGGTGGGGACTAGAGACTCGCTGCAGGAGTCTGTGGCTGAGAAGAAAACTATTAGGATTCTTAATGTACACTTTAAAATGCATTTGTAACTTCAGGGGGCCTCTGAGACCCTTCTTCGCAATGCATTCTAGGTTAACGTCAAAGCTTTTACCTTGTTAGTGTGATCTGGAAGGAAGTATGGCCAGCAATGAAAGACGCCAACCTTGTTAGGCTCTGCTTTCCTGACCCGCCCACTCCAACAAGGAGGGCATTTCCCCGCGGAGTACGAATGACTCGAGAGATCTATAGCATGGGACAGAAAAGGCACATATTTGGTAACATGGAAATATATTATTTTTCCCACTTATACAATGTAAAAACACGGAAAAATGTAAAAAATAATCTTTTTTACAACATAAGTGTCTCTAGAATAGATTGAAGGATGCTGGTGGAGGCAGTGAGAGCATTTCTGAAATACAAGAGTTTGAGGTGCATTAAATAGGGTGAGAACAGTGGAGAACACCTTTAGGAACGACAAAGACACACAGTCCAGACTGGGTGGCTCTGTGCTTTGAAGGGCCTTGAGGAGTCTTTTTAGTTTCCCAACCTAACTCTGTTTTCATATGCAAGGCCACCAAACTTTCAGAATAATGTCTGTCTTCAGAATGTAGAGCATATAGATTAAAGTATCCTCCACCCTTGAAAAAAAAAAAACAAAGAATTTAGATAAAAGGGGGGAAAAAACTACCAACATGTGATACAGATGAAGGAATTTTTTTAAGGAAGAAGGAAATACACATAAATATTCAAAGATAGCAATAGCCAAGGTATCTATTAAGAAGTGATTAAAGGTATGTCAGGAGGCCTCTCCTTGCTAGTCAGTAACCCCAGACCATTACGAGTCCCAGTAGAAGACTACAGTCATTTGGCTCTATTTGTGATGAAGGAACTACCTAAACCACCAGGCTTCCTGCCCCACCTAGCGAGTATTCAACACAGAAGCCTTGATGATCTTTTCACCTCCTATGGCAATTGTTTTTCTTTCCTAACTTGAGTTTCAGCCTGGATTTTTTTGTTATAAAATTCACTTTTCTAAGACAAATGGTAGAAGACAAGGAAGGGCTGAGGAAAGGCCCAATTCTCCGTGGCCAGGAAATCTTCCCAGGATGCCTAGGGCTCGGCATTCTGCCAGGGTTTTGTTAAACTTCTTTCCTCAACATCTTCCTCTGGCTGGAGTATGTTCCACACCTGCTGGGTGCCTCTGGGTTTAGAATTATTCCCACCACTTCGGTGTGAACATTCTGCTCGGCACCAACTGTTCATGCACTGTCTTGAAATTATTATTTTTAGGGCCGGGGATTTTGCTCAGTGGTTCCACCGCCTGCCTCACAAGTGCAAGGACCCAAGTTCGATCCCTGGTAAAAAAAAAAAAAAACTATATATATATATATAAATATAATTTTTCATTATAGTAAAATATACATGACAAAAATCTTACCATCAGAGTCACTCTAAGTGTATAATATCATAGCATGTGGTGCTCTCACATTGTTGTGCAACCGTCATCACTGTACAACCCCAGAACTCCTTTTACCTTGAAGAACTGAAATTTTGCACTCATTAAACTCCTATTCCCTTCTCCACTCTGGCCCTGGCAACCTCCATTCTTTTTTCTGTCTTCATGAATTTTAAAACTCTACCTAATATGGGTAGATTCTTACAGCATTTGCCCTTTCTTGTCTGGCTTCTTTCACTTAGTTCAGGGTCCTTCAGGTTTATGGACTACGTGTATAATAACATTCTTTACACGGTATAAAAATAAGCAGGCTCTTCCTCGGCTTTGAACTCAGATGTCAATCGCGTTCCTCCGATGTGATGAAAACACTGAGCTGGAAGCTGTATAGCAACACTGAATAAAATTATCACATCACACATTGGAAATACACATGCTCTTATTTTAAGCCTATAAGGTGCGATATGCTGCATTTTCAGTTTAGAAATTAAACTGTACTACAGCATGGAGTTTGCCTTTAAAATGAATGCTCTCCTAGGAAATGAAATTGAGGAGGGGGTGGTGTTCAGGAAGGAGATTCCCGGAGAGGCCACCGTACCTTGACTAAGTGAACCATGGCGTCTTCAAAGAAGACCATGTCCATGCCAGCGCCGCGGACACTCTCATTGTACAGCTGCAGGAACGTGTTCAAACGCTCTTTCAGGTGACTGAAAGAGTCAATTGGCTCATAAATTTTGGGCATTTCAGCATCAGCTCCCTCAGAAGTTTCACCTTGGTGGGGAAGAAGAATCAATTTTTTTCCCACTACTTTCTTCACCCTAACTTAATACATTCATAAATCTATAATTTAACGCTGGATATAATACTAATATTCATCAAATGCCATATTAGAAAAAAAAAGTCTTAGTCTTAGAAAAAAAGGAGAAGGTAAGAAATAATAGAAGCATTAGGACTTTTCTGATCACATGCAGTTTTAGTTCTTTCTTGGTGACAAAGATCCCATTTCAACTAATGTTGCGCTCACAGAATTCAATTCATAGCCACAATTGAGCACTGCATTTCAAAGATCTTCCCAGAGATATGAGCTTAATGGCTAAGAAGAACGTCCAAAAAGGAGAGACTAATGTAAAAAAAACATGAGAGAGGTCACGAATTTACCTGACTTTTTAATAAAAACAAAGAAAAAGGGTACCACATTTGTTCAGGTAATTTCTATGATTTCAAATTCTCATTTAGTGAACATAGAAATGAATTTCAGAGCATGGGATTGAAAGATGGAGAGACAATAGAAACTTTGTTTCCTAAATGAATAAATAGATTAAATTGTTTCACTGGGGAAAAATGTATGAAAATCAATATATTTTTAAAAAATTGAAAACTCATGCTATACAGGCTTAACACTTTCCCAGTGTTGACCATAATGCCAAAGAAAAAGCTGACTTGGGTGTGTTTAAATTCGCTAACACGGGACATTACTTAACCTTATTAACCAAAGGAAAAAAGTGTCACATTATCTAATTATTTACCCTTCCAAAACAGAGGAAATAAAATAAGTACAGTAAATATGAGATAAACAATAATTTTATAAATATGCCTTTACAGGATTTTTGCACATATTTGACTTAGTTGAAAATAAAATGTGTCCACCTTTCTAACTGCTCAGCCAACAATGAACACTCCTTTGCAACTGTCACTTAGAAACTTTTGACAAAATACACGTTATCAAAACTGCTCGTTTCCAGGCACTTAGAAGATATAAATAATAGGTCTTTAAGCGTGCAATTTTATATATGCAAATAAACTTAAAATCCATCCTCAGTATTAGAGAAGGTTGTAATATTCTTTTTCTTTTCCTCATTGAGTTTATTGGTACATTTCAGGTATACAGTACAGTCACATTCATCATTGGGATCTTGTACCTCTACATGACAGGTCTTGGTTCTCATTTTTCCCCTTGTCCCTGTCCTCCCTTCACCTCCTCCTCCCTCCTCCTTTACAAACACTTTATTTCCATTTTCTCATAGTTTTCTTCTTTTCCCTTATTAGCTTTCCCCTACCCTTCCCACTTTCCCTACACCTTTAGCCCCTTTCTTCCTATTTAACATTGTTGTAATATTCTTTTTAATCCCAGTTATTTCTGAGCAGAAAAATAATTGGAACAATGCCTCTTTTCATAAGAAAAGTAATATATCTCCATTTTTCATGGGTCTATAAGCATAAAAGTTCGCCTTCATTTCACCCATCTCTTTCCAATTATATTCAATACCCTCCTCATATAATTCTGGGCTTTTCTCTTTAATTTCAACGTTCAAATGGACTGAGTGAAAATTATTTTGTCATTTTGCTTGCTTCCCTCCATTTGGCAGTGACTCTGGGCCACAGACGCCACACCGCTCTCCCGATAACGCCATCGGTTTTTCCACCTTCCCCCAACTCACATATCCACATTTCTATTCTCAGGAATAAGAATGTGAGTCAAGAAGGTTCTGAGACCCCAGCTAATGTGTGCTGGACGCTTCCTCCAGCAGACCTCGGACAGACTGCGAGTCCTGGGTACTTTCTTCTAGCCTGCCCTACCTCCTCCATATTCCACCTTGTCACCCAGGCGTGGCAAACACAAAGCTAGTTCATCTATGAACTCAAGGTGGCCGTCCTTTCATTCTGCACTTGCTGAGTACCTACAATGTCCCAGGCTTGCTTCGGTAAAGTCTCCTAATCAGAAACTCAACCCCACTAGGTGAAACGTCTCTCTTCAAGACTCCTTTCTGGGGATCCTACCGGAGAATTTCCCTCTAGGCTTTAATAGTTTACCTATAGCTTCAGGTGCATCCCGCAAGAAATCCACAAAATAAGCATCGATTCCATAATCCACCAACGGTTTTTTCTCTTCACCGAACTCTTCCTCTACCAAACTTACTAAAGTCTGATCAAACCAGGTCACATCTTCAGACGCAGTGAAGCGATCGGCTACCACACGTTTACATTCGTGTTTCCACAGCTTTAACAGCTCCTGTGGAAGGTATTGTTAAAATACCACAAAACCCCACTGCACCATAATTGTAAATTCAAGTTGAGATATTACAGAGATCATCTTTCTTGCCTTAAAATGCAACGTTTTAAAAAGTTTAGAATTTCAAGAATTTCTCTTCACTTTAATTTCACTCAAGTATATTAAAAGAAAGGTAGAGTGTATCCCTTTGCAATCTCAAAAAGAAAATATCGCTAGGCAAAAATAAAATAAAATAAGATAAGATAAAAATCTCTCTGATCAACCAGCAAACTAAATTCTATGAAGAAGTCTTAAATTTGTGATTAATTAGTCTTTTTGAGAAAGATACCTATATTCATGTGACCAGGAAATAGTATAAAATATAGTGTGCGAAAAACAAAACAAAAAAAAAAAAACAGAAAGAAAGATGGGGAGGCAGGCCAGCCTCCTCATATCACTTGACCAGGCCTTGACATACTGGACGTTTACATAACAGGTCTAGTTTGAAGAAAACCCTTAAAACCTAGGGACAATCGTATTCAAGCATATATACAAAAGCTCATTTTTGAATTAAATGAATTTTTCTACTCTGCTGCTTCTTTCCAATTTCACCAATGCACACAACTCTTTTAGTGCAACTTGTTACATGGAACGAAAAGATTGTGGGTGATTAACAATAAAGCGATTTATTTTCATTCTGAATGTTTATTTATAAAAATAACTACTTCTTAAAGTTAAAATGCCAAGTTTAAAATATGAAGTCTATATTACAGAATTAAATCAATGATTATTCTATTTAGTATAAGAAAAAGATCTTGTGATGGGAAAACAAAGTTAATTGCTTCATTTATTCTACTCACTAGGAAATAATTGTACATTTTCCTAAACATAAACTTAATTTAATTAAAAATTTTAATAGAAGATTTCTGATGAGTTTACTTTTTCCTTACATTAGTTGAAAACCAGTGACAAAAGGAATATGCACGGTGAAAGAACCCAAAATATTTTCAAAATTCATGTAAAAAATAAATTAATAAAGATACTTAGGATTCATGATAAAAAGCAATGTTATTTGTTTTTCTCTTGAAAGGATCACTTACATCTGGTTGTTTGATGACCTCTGAAGTACTTTTCAACATCCCCTGCCAGATCCTAGAAAGATCTCGAAGGTTAAATACATAATGGAATTTTGCAGGTGTAGGGAGCATTTTAATCTTGGTCATCTGCCATAGTCGGCGTGTGAGAGGCACCAGTTTCATCACCAAATTTCTCACTTCCTCTGAGAAACCCCTCTGGGTGCAGTAGTAGCCTGCTCCGATCACACCTGAGAGAGGAGGAAATCACAGCATTTTGACTCATCATTCAAAGACGCTCACTTAGAATGAAAAGTACTGTAACAGCTTTTGCACAAATGAAATTAGACTTTAACAGCCACATATTGAAAAAAGTATGTGTTAATGTTCTGTTTCTTTCCCAAACATCTAAAGATAGTTATAGGTTCAAGTAAGTTGTAATTTAAAATAATGAAGACTTGATTAAGAAATGCTAGTGAGGGCTTGGGGATACCCCTCAGTGGTGGAGCACTTGATTAGCTGCTGTAAAGCCTGGGTTCCATGCCCAGCACTGCAAAAGGAGAGAAAGAAAGAATGGCAGAGAGAGGAGAGGGAGAGGAGGGAATCACTGACTACCCCAGCTGCACTAATTCAATGTTATTAAACCGGTTATTAAACTGATAAGCATATAAAGCAGATATAGAAAAAGACAAGTGAAATCTTTTCAAACATTCTCTATGATTTCTCCATTTTGTTGCCTTCTTGAGTATTACAAAATATTTTATATACTTTATGTGCAAAATTCTGCAGGCAACAGAAAAGTGATAATAGTCATCTCCTCCATAATCGACTGTCTCCAAGTTTACATACTTCAAATGTTGCTTGATTTCCAAACCTTGCTCACTGATGTTTCTAAGGCAGATCACTGCCACACTGTACTAGCCCAGGGTGCTAAGATGACATTTTTGTCTTCCAGAAATTAATTAGGTCAAATTTAATGAGTTTTTCTCAGTAGCAGCTTCAGAATTTGTAAATTAACACCTAAGAAGGAGGTGTCCATAACTTCATACTATTTTTCTGCAAAGACTAATTCCAAAATCAGTCATGAATGCATTTGTGTTACTCAGCTGAATACATACAGTTATATATTAGGCTAGCGGTTCCTCCATTATATTATGTCACTTTATTCAGTCAGTAATTGAGTATAGTCCTGCCCATTGCTCTGATGACCAGACTGGGTCTCTTTTCTGCCTTTATCTTATCTGTTCTTCATTTCTTTAGTCAAAAGCATCATAGGGGTCGGCTAAACTATCAGATACACATACTTCTAACACAGAATTATAGTAACCACCCTTCCGTGAGGAAACCATCTCATCCCCATGTTCACTGAATGTTCACTGAGCATGTCACCTTCTTTCTTAAGAAGTTTGCAACCAATATGTAAGTAAGAAAAACAGGTACAAAAGACTCACTAAAGCATCCGGGTCTGTGTATCTCTGTAGTAAATCTCTATAGGAAGCAAAATGCACTGCTAGAAAGTGATGAAGCAATAGATAGGGTGTCACCCAGTGTTCTTTCTGGGCTGAGCTCAGCTGGGAAGGTTCTGGTAGGAAGCTCAGCAAGCACACCTCAGGAATGTCACACTGACACGCATCTTACCAAAGATCTTGTCCATGGAAGCCTCCGAGGGCAGGGTGCAGTTAAAGACAGAGAACTGCCTCTTCAGTCTCTGCGGGATGTCATTGCGTCCACCACCGGGGTGGGTCATGGCAGCCAGGAACTGGACGTCCACAATGCTGGTGAATTCCCCAGGCTTCTCCAGGTTATAGAATCCATTCTGTTCCATCAGCTGCCGGACGATCTCATTGGTAACCTAAGAATGACAAGTTTCAGAACTAAATGCCATTCCTCGTGCCCCCAGCACTGAAACCTGTGAGGTTGGCTACAGGGTGGGGTTTATTAGAATTCAGGAATGGGATGTTGAAAAGTAGAAAAATAAAACAATACACAATGGAATCAATATACCTGATCTCCCCATTCATTGATTATTGGCATATTCACATCATCAATAAAAATAGTCATCTTCTTTCCTGCAGGAGGGCCATATGTTGTACCCATGCGTTTATCCACATAACTCTCTATTGTCCTCTGTTAAACAGGAAAGCCAACAGAGATGTCTGTGAGTGTGACATGGTATTGTTTAAAAGCAAAATGAAAAAACAGAACATCAGACCTCGCAAGAATTGCTTAGGGAAAAAATCAAAATCTCCTCCTTAATTCTGGCAAATAAGTCAGAATGACACAAATTACTTTGCATAATGTTCTTGACCTTTGGAAATCCCGTTTAATTTAGGAAGAAGTGAAGCTGTAACCAATGTCAGTTTTGAATGGATGAGTCTCTCCCATTCATTTTGGTTTGTTTTTGTACCTATGTAAGAGAAGTATAGCTTCCATTACTCAAAGGTCCTAGTCCTGTCAAAAGTTTCCTACAGTGAAAGGCAATATTAAATAGGGCTGCTATCAAGGAGCTTGTTCAGTCTGCACTGCAAGTTGCAGGGCCTGTCCGACTGAAGGCTGCTGGCCTCAATGAGAAGGATGCTAACTGGCTTCTGCAACACAACCCAGAACCACTACTTTGGGCAATCACACTGATCACTTCTCATCACCCAACACGAGAGAGACAACAACGTCCACTCGGCTCTCCTCTCTCATTTCTGCGTTCTGAGATTAGGCGATAGAAAAGGCCACTCTGTGCTCTATAAAAACCTTCCTGGCAATGTGAAAAAGAACACAGAAACTGATGCAAGGGATACTTGAAGTGTTACAGAGGATAGAGAAGGACCTCCAACTCCTGACAGTGGTCTTCTCATTCCTGTAGTAGTGCAATACAGTTTGGAAATCTAAAAGTCATTTTAAATGTACGCACTAGACAACCAGAGTTTAGCACAGAGGAAAAAATAGAAAGGGCTTCAGAGTTCTCTTACTCCAGAAGCTCAAAATCTTAAAGCCTCGTGTGATACCCATCACTGTAGGAATCTGCTGCTGTGTTATTTTAAATCATTTTAGAGATGATGTAGAAGGATAGGAAGAGGCACCAGTATGTTGAGATAAAATGGATTCTCCTATCCAAAAAAAATTATTTCATGATTAAAGTGTAAACCAATTAAAAACAACTTCAATTATCAAGATACAACCACAAAATACAACAAGACACATGCAAAAATGCATGTCTATCTTTGGAAATCTTCACGGTAATCATGCATTCTAAGTTTCCATTATCATTTTCGTTAACAGCAAGATATATGAAAAATTTCCCTGCTTTAATGGAAATATGCATAAATATATCTCAACTCATTACAAAACAAATCTCCCATGAATCAGAACAATTGCAAAAATAATTTCATATTCCCGATATAAAAACATACCATTTAATGCACGAGGCTAAATTTAGCTCTGCTTTCAATAAATTAAACACATAAGCCCATTAATAATCTCCTGACAACCTCCTATGGCAAACCAGAGCCTTCCAGACATTCTATGTCTGTTAATGAGAATTCTCTGGTGTGTGAAGATTTTATGTCTTGTGAGGCCTTCTAAGAGCTAAAAGCCACAGGTGGGATAATTAGAATGGAAGAGAAAATACCCTCACACCTACCTTTCTTCACCTTTATTACGAGTCTAATTCCTTAAAATGACTAGTAAGTTATAGATGTCATAAAAGAACCAAGTAGACAGAAACAAAGCGAGAAATGTAAAGTAGCTTGTGAGCCCAGAAGTTCAAACTTCCTTTTATTTTCAGAAATTGCTGCCCAATCCATAGTAATCTAGTGAGTCATGAAGTTTGATGAGGCCTCTTACAGTCTGAAACAAAACATCTGCATCTTCTATTGGAGGTGTTTCCTTGGACCGGCATCTGCAGCTGGACTTGCAGGCATGGATGCTCCAGAGCACCAGAAAAACAACATAGCCAAATCTAAACTTCTCTTTCTTAGTTACCACAAAGTCTGTTTCTCTTCTAGGTGCGCACAGCAGAGATCTGCATCAATTACCTAACCCCCCCATCCAAACATTTCCCCATTGTATGTCCCCAGGATCGAAGGTACTCCGGGCAATGAACTGAAGGTACTCTACCACTGAGCTGCAACCACAGCCTCTTTTTTATTTTTTTGAGACAGTCTCACTAAATTGCCCAGATGGAGCTTGACTTTGCAGTCCTTCTCCCACAGCACTGAGATTATAGGTATGCACTCTCTTATTCCTAGGCCTTTTTAAGTATCTCCTCCTCACCAAACGATGATTTACCCTTATTCAGTTATTTGTGTTTCTCATGGGGATCAATGTCATGGTCTCTTAAACTGCCATCCCTATCATGAGTCAATCCTAGATGCTTCTTTATAAATCATATAAAATATCTGTATTACATGACTTAAAACATTATCTAAATTCTCTGTCTTCCCAATAACCCAATCTTGAGGTTAGAGTGTGTGCATGGGGCCCCTGAGGTCTGTGTGTTGAAGGATTGGTTACAAGGGTGAAGGATTGGGAGGTGTTGTGGATTTCTACAACTTTGTGTCACGGGAAGGATGCCCTCAAAGGAGATTAGGGGTCCCCAGGGGTCTCGGTTTCTCTCTGCTTCTTGGTTCATGGTATAAGCAATTGTTCTGAAATTCACACCATCAAAGGTCAAAAGCAATAAATTCACCCAATCCTGAACTGGATCTCAAGAAAACATGTGCAGAATAAACCACTTCTTGTTGTAAGTTTATTATCTTGGGTACTTTGTTCTTGCCACAAAATACTGACTAATAAAATCTATGTGAAGAATTACTGTTGGATGATCTTTGCAGTGTTCTTCTGCCCATGTTCTCCCCAATCTCTTTGCTCTGTGTTTCCATCCCATCCATTGTCTTGGTGGCATAGACCCTCACACAGTTAATAAAACCCAGTAGGAATATTCATTTATTAGATCACTTTCTGATCTTCTCTTGAATGTCAGGAGCTCAGGTTCTTTGTTGATCTAATTCCTCATTCCATCCTCAGTGTCCAGACAACTGTCAGCTATTAAATATTTTCTCAGGAAAATATCTGATATATAATAAATACGAGAAACCCAGAATCATCTTTCGCTTTTCTCTCTCTCCCCTATGCTTCTGCTCCAAGAACAGCCACTCACCTGCCACAAGTTCCACTGGTCTCACTGCCTAACCATACTGTGGACGTATCCATGTCATCTCAACTCCCGCTTCTACTATGCTGGTCCAGCCCCACCTCCCTCTGAAGGAATTTGCTGGATTTATTGCTACTGTGTCCTCTCAGTTCTGAGTACAGCCATCTCTCTCCCACCTTGTTCTCCAACTGAAAGCAAGAACGAACTTCCTGTGGGCATTGTGAATCCTCCAGGGCTTCTCATTAGTGACTTTTAAGGACTCTACAGCATGGGCTGCTTACCCCTCCAGGCTCATCTCTAGACTGTCCTCAGTTTCTATGTTCCAATCCCTCCCATCTTTAATTAAGTCTACTGTACTCAGATAAAAATAAAACACACACCATGAAGTAAGGCTCATCTCACAGGCTGGCTTACAGACTTCATTATGGGAATCTTCTTTATATACTCCTTAGAATAGCCATGTCTAAACACTGCAAAATCTCTCCCAATTAGCATTAGCCAAACACACTGTGAAATATTGACTTAGATGAGTGATCTTCCATAAACGTCCCTTCCTTGAGGCCAGCTATTGATTATTTAGAAATTGAAATCTCTAACAGGATTGGACTAAGGGCAATCTATGCTTCTTTGGGAATAAACAATAACTTTACTTTACAAATGAAGAATCCTCATTAGCATGATATTGTCTTATACAATCCATAAACAAGATTCTGATCTCGTCTATCTGCAGAGACATGAGACACCAACAATAATCCCAGTTGCAACCGTGATGTTTTAAGATATAACATCTAGGTAATTAGAGAACCGAGTATTTTTAGGAATGGAGGTAAGAAATGTTCTCACTCTTTGTGGTAAGTCAGGACCCCTAACCCAGGGCCAATTCAATTTTCTGAATTAATTTCTTAAAAGACAATTCTGCTTTTTTAACTTCTTAAAATTGACATAAATATTAAAGTTCTTCCAGACAGTGGACAACTCTTTTATTACATTATGTCTCTAATTCCCTAAAAAAAAATAATTCCTTTCTCCTCTGGGCTTTATAGTCCTTGCATTACACCACACATGGCACTTAGCACATAGGCTATATTTAGCTGTGCATGTGTCTGTTTCCCTAGCCAGATAAGGGAGGACCTGTGTAACGGAGGCAGTTTAGGCAAGGTGTGCTATAACTGAGGAGCTTATGCATTGCAGAGTTCTTGGATTCACCATTCACACGAGTGTCTCCAACAACAAAACACAGCATAAAATCTGCATACTGACCTTACACAACAGCTGTGAGTTTAAAGGCAGAAAAGAAGAGGTTAAACGATTGTTTCTCTAACATATTAGCCTTGTGGTTCCATGTGTCAAAATATTTCTGAATCACAGTTTAGAAGAACATGTATAAAGGTATGTAAATCATATATATTATATGTATATGCATGTATGTTATGTATAGGTATATAAGTACATCCAACAAGATATTATGCATAAATGATATATGAAAAAAGAATTTTACAAAAAATGTAAAGGTGCTTTATTATTTGTATGGAAGTCTAAGTCATTTTTCATAAATATGATATACAATCAAATTGAAATACAAAATATACTTAATTTTAGGTTTTCATATGTGTACTACTAGCTCAAATACAAAAATAGAGAGCTTATTCTCTGCCTTAATATCGTCCCATTTTGCTGTGATTCACTAGAAGCAAATGAAAGCAGTCATACATTAGCAAAGTTTAATGTGCTCAACAGTAATTCTAAAACGTAAAATCAGTATGGATAAAAATGTGAAAAATACAGTGATGCATAACTGGAAGTTTAAAAGTACACAGTGCCCCAAGTGGTACATCAGCTGATTGAGTACTAATAAGGCTAAAGAAAACGCAATGGGAGGAAGCAGCTGAACAGGCACAGGTGAGCAAACCAGGATTGGGTGTCTATTTTAGATTTCACCGCCAGCTACCGGCTGAATTCACATAGTGCTTCACTATCCTTC